CTGACTATGACAGATTTTGTACAACCAAACTATGAAAAAGTTTATTGAGGATTTCGTACAACTTTTTTTAAGGTTATTCACATTAAAAATTCTAATATGAGGAATCGATAAGAATATCATGAAATATTACGTTAGAGTGGTGTCAAGAATAGCAGTTAATATGGAATATTTTGCTTTTTGAAGTTTTATTATAACGTAATCAATAGTCACTTTCCTTTGTTATTAACTAGAAAGTAGATGTATTCCAGATTAGATCCATATTTAATGGTATGTTTGAGTAACGAAAACCACCCACAAAACTAATACACTAATGCAATACAGAAAGTCTGATGCTTCAGTTCTAAATTTAAAAATCAACAGATAGACGTTAGTAGTACAATGTTCTTGCCAACACAAACTCCGTATTATGTACAAAATTCTACGAGTAAAAGGCATTTTACTCAATTTTCGTCCTTCTCAACATCTGATCAAAATGAAATACTCTTAGATAATTATGTTGATCCTGATCTTCAGAAGTTCCTCTGTCCTTTAAATCTCGGACATTATGTATTATTTTCTCCGAAATATAGCATTCGTTATAACTTTATAATTACTAATAGCCGTATTGCTAATTGTTTTTCTCTTTTCTGTACATTTAGTTTCATATTTTTATATACTCTATATACCGTTCTTGATCAAAAGATAAAATATATTGGCACTCTTTTATTGTCGGCTACAATTATTAATTTCCTTGTGTACTGTTTAGCGTGTGCTCAGAATTCTATCTTGAACATCATTCAGTCCGACACACATGTGAATTTGATTTTAACTGTACAAAAAATACAAAAATCTTTCAGATCTACCAATATCTGTAAAAGCTTTGTGATTGGTAACTGGATATATATCATCACTCTTTTATTGTTCTATTTTGTGCTAGGTGCGATACAAACCTTCGTAAGAAAATTGGGCTCGACTCTTATTAGCTATGTGCCTGTATTAATCACTGACTTCAACATTATTTACAAAATTCGAATGGTTAAATTATTGAGGTGTTATACAGTTTTATGGACATCTGAACTGAAAAGTTTGAATGAAACGGAAATCAATGAGGAAGATTCTACAAATGAGTCAGTTAAGATGGTGGAATGTTGGAGTACAACGGTAAACTCATTCTTTAAAATACTTGATGCAACTTATATCTATAAAAACGTATGTGGACTTCCGGTAAGGCAATAATTCCATTCTAAGAATCCTTTAAATGATGTAACATAATAATAAAGAATGTAGTATAAAATATGAACATGTACACCATTTTAATCTTTTCAGATTATGCTTTATCTTTTAGTTACCGTTATGCAGTCAATATTAAATGTTCAAGTGATAATTTTGGTAAGTATAAACGAAGAATTTTTTATTTTTCTACAAATAAACATTCATCAATAACAGCAGTTAATAAAGGAATATAGGATGTATCTGTGAAAGTTATTATACAACGATGCTTCATAACTGTAATTTTAATTTAAGGGCGCTTACAATGCCCCCATATCAACGGAGTGATTGTGAGTAGTGTAGTTGTACCACTTCTAGACCACCTGAGTCAGACGTGGTTCAACGACGTTCGTCGACGCTCGATCCTTACAAAAAAAAAAAAAAAAAAAAAAAAAAAAAAAAAAAAAAAAAAATATAAATACATATACAAGAGCATACAGGAGTAAACAAGTAAGTAAAATAAAAGCCTTAACGCAACAAATTCGGGAACATGGTCATATTTTCGGAGTCCAATGATGAACCTTATGATTAATGTTTACAAAGTTACAGCCTATATAGGTCCTACTCCTGGGCAAATTATTTCTCTACCTCTCATTTTTGAGAGCGTTTTAGGGTAAGGAAGCGTTCATCGCGTTGCGATGAAAAAAGGTATATAAGAAAAAAAAGCACAAAAGGGTGCAGATTTTATCTACAAACTTTTTCCTTGTATATTGCAAACAACTAATTGTATGCTGTGAAATATTTTATAAATTGCTATAATTTATTGAAAAAATTATTTTGGCGCCTAGGTACATAATACTTATTCTGTGAAAGGCAGATCATTTCCTTCGGATTCGAACTACATGTAATCATTTATTTCATCCTGTTTTGCGAATCACTGAATTCTGATTGGAAGTCATTTACAATCACAATAGTAGTGTAGTTGTACCACTTCTAGACCACCTGAGTCAGACGTGGTTCAACGACGTTCGTCGACGCTCGATCCTTAAAAAAAAAAAAAAAAAGGTTTTGGCATGCTCTGATCACGAATCCGCGGTCCATTTTTGTGTAGAATGCACGGTTCCGGAGATGTGTAGATCAATTAGCTAATATCTAATTGATATCCGGTAAGGGCCTCCACCGTCATTAGCGTCCCATTGTTCCTATTTTTATTGTTCTATTGTTCCTTAATCACCTTCATTGCAGCGTGTGCGTCGACAATATCAGTGCTATTGTGTTATAGTTCTTTGTTTATACAACGCTAATCTGAATCATCAATAAAACACATTACATAATTTTGTTACAATTTTTATTTATAAAATACAAAATCTTATTAATTATTATCTATAAAATAGGAGCGAAACATCTCATCCACTAAAATATCGTTGTACAATGTGTTCCTTGTAAATATACTCGTAAAACTATGTATTGAACATCCTTGAAACTTATATAGTAAATACATTAAGCAATATTCGCCACAAACTGTAGTCCACTCATTCTGAATCCTATCAACATTCCAGTTCCATCTTTTACAATTCCTTTTTAAAAACTCTAGATGATATCGTACAGGTGATCGTCCATATGAATCAAAATATTGACCGACGTCATTCGTATCGATATATAAAGCTACCCAATGTGACCCTGGTTTATCATCTGTATCCAAATTACATATTATATACGTTGGTACGTGGGTATACATAGGCAGTCTATTAGCTGCATAAACATTATTTTCTAGACTGGGGTGAATCTTTTTCAGATGTTGTTGTACATCTAGTGTATCCATGATATTACTGCTATTAGTAGATTATTACAGTACCTAGCTACTCAATGAATAACATAGGAATGGTCAATTATAGTGATTTCTACATATTAAATTGCATTTTTGTGATATACAAATCGTACTTGAGTCATTGATCACCAAACAAAACACAATACGAAGAAATGTTGAGATAGGCAACGGAAATGTGAGATAAACTGATATGTTTCTAAATATTAAATTGCATTTTTGTGTTATACAAATCGTACTTGAGTCATTGATCACCAAACAAAACACAATACGAAGAAATGTTGAGATAGGCAACGGAAATGTGAGATAAACTGGTTGACGCATAAAGTAATTATCAACTCATTACGGAAATACTTTAGATTAGAATTTTTACGTACTGGTGGTATATAAGACCAACAAACGCAGTCATCGAGTTAGTGTACGGTCGTTTGGTTACAGTGGATCTATCAATAGTACATTTGTGTTACTTCAATACACCAAAGGCTATGGATGTAAGTGTTTATTCTATTGACTAAATTACTTTTTTTCTGTTATTTTCATGTGTGTGTATTATTTTATTTAAATATTGTGTATGTATATGATTAAGCCGTGGTAACTCAGATGGTTAGCGCTAGCTGTAAATTTCACAGTACGCGACCCGGGTTCGATCCCCGCCAGCACCAATTAAATTGTTAATAGCAATTTTAAGTGCTTATTACCACGTGCTTGGTGGTGAAGGAAAACATCGTGAGGAAACCTGCATGTCTGAGAAAATTTCGAAGGCATGTGAAGTTCGCCAACACACATTGAGGGAGCGCGGCGGACATTTCCTTGCTCTAAAACCCTCTCAGAAATGAGAGGAGGCCTATGTTCAGCAGTGGACTTTAATAGGCTGTAACTTTAACTTTTTTAACTTTTATGATTAAGTGTTAACAAATTGATATTAACATGATAACTGTGTTGTTGCAGAAATCATTGAGCTTCGATGAAGATACCTATAAACAGTATTACTACTCGCCACTCTCCCCTCAAGAAGAGAGTGATAACCTCGTCATTAATAATAACACATGCGATGGTGGAAAAAGAAAATCGCAATCGATTGATCATTTTTTTGAAGCTGAATCAAAAATAAAAAAGAGGAAGCTGTTATCATCAACCGTAGCACGAGCCGCTAGAGATGGTGTATCATACATTTCTACTAATTCTGACGACGGAGACCAAGCGACGCATCTCATCAAAATTGAAATGTACGATATGAAGAAGCTATCCAAGATTCCAACTACTGATCATTGGAAACATGCTTCCACTAGAATTAAATATTACGTAAAGACTAATAAGGATAGCATCTACGACAACACAAACGCCCTCGTATACAATATAACAAAGACAATAGCAGAAAGTGAAAAAGTTAAAAAATACTTTTTTAACAATGACAGTCATTAGCTGATCATTAGTGAATGTGATTCTGTTTACTTCAATTACAGGAAGACAAGAGCGGAAGGAAGAGATGAGTGTGGCATACGTGTACAAAACACATCATTGAATAACAAAATTACAACACTGAGTGGGGAAGAAAACGAGAAGAGTATGCAGTACTCAAGAGCTGAATATCCATTCTTCAGTTCAAAATCTAGCCGTTTGCATAGTTTCGAAAACTGGCCTCTAGTTATGCGACAGAAACCTGAAGATCTTGCCGAAGCTGGTTTCTTTTATACTGGCCATGCAGACGGGACCAAGTGTTTCCATTGTGGTGGTGGTTTAAAAGATTGGGAAGATGATGATGATCCTTGGCAGCAGCATGTTCAGTGGTTTAGTCAGTGTGCTTATGTAAAATTTCAACTCGAACAGTGTTTTGTATTAGATTAAATAGAAGATTTATAAAGAAATAAAAAAAATATATTGCATACAATTTGTTTTATTTAATTTTATAACGTTTCACATAGTTACATACACACAAAATGCATTACACATAACACATAATATCTAACACACAACACATATTATAACCTTAACTACTATAGTCTACAGTAACATTTCTGTTTTTATCTATCTCAATAATATTATCAAACTCAGCATAAACTATACAGTTAATTGTTTGTATTAATGAGGATTCAAATCGTACTTCTATTCTTACACTACCATGCTTTATGAGATTCCAATGAGTTGATGAGTTAGCTGATAAATTAGGAGTTAAGTCAAATGCTAATAGACAGTAACCTTTGCCATACTGTTCACAAGAGATTCCATTTCCTTCATTAAGAAAGTGAATACCAGTTCCCGAGAATAGAGTATGATATGCTGATGTAAATATGCTATTATTAAAAGATGGTTGCAAAGCTTTTGAAGGTATTTGTTGACCATCAATATATAAGCTGAAAGAATTAATACCATAGTTTTCAAAGTTAAATGGATTTTTAGTAAGGGAACCATTAAATGCAGAATTGTTCACAAATCCAATTATACATCTTTTCGGTACCTGTCCTAAAAATATATTATCAAGAGTTTTTCCTTGAACACCTGAAGGAATTGTTAAAACTTTTACTTCAGCTCGAGTAATAGGATATTTAGCAGTGGTAGAAGCTAAAACTTTTTGATGTGCGAGTAATACACTTGGATTAATTCGTGCTCGTCGCACAATAAGAGTTGCGTCCGTAATGCAAACTTTAAACTTTACATCGTTCGACCCAACAATTAAATTAAAACTCTCTCTTGATCGAACCAATTTAACACTCATTTCAACACCATTAATTAAAAATTTATCTTGGTTAAAAATGTCACCGTGAAGATGACCAATCATTTCTATTTCCTTACTTTCACTAATCAATTCCTGTCTTTTAACAAATCCTATGTTTTTACCATCTGTAGAATCCATTTTTCCTGCTGTATCCTCATACCAAAGACTACAAGTAAGATGAGATTGTTTAGCAGCAGGGGCATAGTTTAAAAGGGTTTCCATGTATGCTCGATATGCATAGGTATTATTAGGTGGTGATACAAGTTTTTGGTTTAAATAAACATCAAGTTGACTAAAAAGTGAATGCAGCCAATTATTTACAGGTGCTACTATTGTAGTAGATACCAAGTTAGTTGAATCTTGATTTAATACTTTTGCCTTTATGTGGAGTAATGTATGAGACAAATCTATGTAGTCATCGCCGGTCCCAGGAACTTGAAACTCGATAGGTCCATCATCACCAAGAGATGAAATTGGTTTATAATGAATCCACAATCCATTTTCAATGCTAGTTTGTGTAGACGGTAGTGCAAACAAATCCAATTCTGACTTAACGCACTCGCAAGAATGATTATGAAGGAAAGACATATTTAGTTTGAAAATATATCTTTGATATTTTTTGGTTTTAGACAAAGTTTTTTCGCAGCTTTCACTTTAGCAGTTAATGGTGGAATGAACGATGTCAATCGTTTTCTTTTAGTTTTATACCCAGATCCAGTCATGTTAAATTGATCAATTTTCTCATCAGCCTTTCGTTTTAAATTCGTACTAACTTGCTTTAGACGATCTTTTATTGAGGCTTCCATAGGACGGGCTTGAACCATATCCGATAAAAGTCCTACTCCAGCGCTTAATGCCTCCTTACCAATCACTCGAGCACCACTTGAAAGTAAAGGTAAAACTGATCTGAATAACCCCCCTAAGAAGCTCCCAATACCATGACCGCGTTAATATGGTGAACCCTTATAAATTACTCCAACTCCTGATCCAGCTTGATGTGTATAATAATTTTCATATGGACATTTATGATGATCACGAAGAGAATTCATTATTATAATTTTCGGAAATGTAGTTTAATACACACGGTTCCAAACTGGAATGGTATTTTTTGTCTTGTACTCGATCTTATAACTATTTCCAACGTATCGAACTCTCTTCGCATAACAGGTAAGTAGTGAGGTTGAGAGAAAACGTGCATTTTATTTGCACCATAAATGTATTTTGTAGGATCTAATGAAATGACTCTTAATAAAGGAGTCATAACATCACCCACAATCTGAGGATCGATAATGTCGCAATATAGAAATAGTTGAGATGGTAACCCTAAGTGTAAATTAGCAGGACACTTTCCAAAATTTCTCTCTAGGAGATTTTTATTTGGTTCATAACCTAGCTGTAAACTTAATTTGGGTGATAATGTTACGGATGTTATATTTTTATCCAATACCGAAATAGACACAAATTTTGTTATTTCATCATAGCGAAATTTCAAGTTCTCTCCGATACCATTTAACACTCTTAAAATATGCTCAACGTTATCATAGTTGGTAGCTGGAATATGTTTTTTGTAGTACACTGTGGATGGTTTATCTTCATTAGGCATTAACATAGATTTTGTAATGTATATAACATTTTCATGGTCTTGAACAGTAAACATGGTACATGGATATTGAAACTCGACAACTCCAACCGACCATTCACCTTCTAATTTTATAGCTTTTGGTAATTTAGTTGAAAAATTTGTGGTCTTGTTATCAGGAAAGTATTCCATTGAACTATTGCTGAGCAAAGTTAAATAGAAACTTTCTTTATTCATATTTCTTTTAAACTAGAAGCTAAAATCCAACTGTTAAATTTATCTGGATAACCTTTCCACTTCACTAATACTTCTTTTCTGTTACCTGAATAACGAGTGTCAATTATTTTATCTATTTTATGTTGTGAGGTGGGGTTGTAAGTGATTTTCTGTAATTCTCTTTCATAAAAAGTACCAATTATTGGTTCATTTTGTAAATCTGTTATTGTATAAACAACCCATGGAGATCTATCAATTATTGAAGATATAATAAATATTTCATCACTCCAATTTGATTCATATCCTTTTTGGAATACATGTTTATATTTAGTTATTCGAACATAATCACCCACATTGAAATTTGGTTTAGGATTTTCTAAAGAAAGTTTTTTTGACCGTCTGTCATAAAGATTAGTCCAAACTGTCATAATATTTTTGGAATTTACATCACATGGGCACATCTTAATAATAGAGTGAAAGCTGTGATTATAAGAGTATATTAAATCTTGTAAAACATCTATATATCTATAAGTATTATTATGAGTGAAATAACGCCACATTTTCATTTTTAGTGTTCTTTGAAATCGTTCAACAATACTGGCCTTAATGTCAGGATTGTTAGTGGTATAGTAATTAATCTTTTTGGATTTAAAGTATTTTTGTACATCTTTTGAAACAAATTCGGTACCTTTATCGGATTGTATGTGAGTAGGTGTTAAATTACTTTCAGTAAATATACTTTCAAAACATTCTTTAGTTGTTTCTGAGTTTTTCTTTTTCATTGGTCTTGCAAAAGCATATTTACTAAATACATCAATAATACAAAGTATATACTTGAAACCATCATTATATTGAGAATAAGTTCGCATATCACTTAAATCAGCTTGCCACAGTTCATTAATATTTGATAGAATGTACCTATTACGCGGGAATTTTTTTCGAATGGGTTTATGTAATGTGTATGTTTCTTGTGATTTTAACCATTCCTTTACTTGCTTTTTATTCATTTTACCCTTCATGGCTTTTGATAATTTATTAATACTACCAAAACCAGCGGGATTAGATGGATCATAATAAATCCTGTTAATTTCTTCTAGTACGGAGTCCATTTTTCCCACTCAAGTCCTTTACGTATTTTAGTTGTAGACTTTTTATCTCTACTGCACGGTGTAGAAAACTCTTGAACTTCAATCTCAGAGGGTTTGTTCAGATCTTTTGCTTGAAGTTGGTTAATAAACTCACATCTCCTTGGATTTCCAATATAAGTAAGTGGTACTTTAATATCTTTTAATGCTTCAGCAAATCTAACCCACCCTACCGGATCACTTCTTTTTAGGGGTCTTAGTGAATCATTTATTAAATCAACAATATTACTTCCAGGAATTTTTTCACTATCAATTATGACTGTACCTTCGTTATCCCAATGTATTTTACTTTTACTTGTTTCAACTAAGTTTAATAATAACTGCCCTTTTTTATGATAAGTTTTTGGTATTAAACTGAGTATTTGAGTTGGTGTGTAAAGTGGATTTTCATCATTTTCTTTACTTTTAATGGATCGATTCTCCTCCAGCAAAGATTCAATATCAACTGAAGTTTTTAGATCTCTATCTTTATTTTTAAAACCATTTTTTGACTCATTTGAATCTTCATTAGATGTATCAGAATAAATTGGTAATTTGAGTGGTTGACGATCCTCTTCGGTAAAATGAAGGTATCTTTGCAGTGTTTGTAAATATAATATCCATTTCTTTCGGTCTTCCGTCTTACTATTCATAATATTTTGCATTTCAATATCTAATCGAGATAAATTACTATTAACCTTATTTTCTTGTTTTAATTTTTCAATCAATCCAGGTTCGATAAGTATCATTTTCTTTGCATTTTCCATGTTAACTGGCTAGTCCACTCACTAATCCACTCAATATTGCACCTAATATTGTTGGTAAGAAAGCCCCTCCTTTTTGTATAATTATATTTTTTCTTAGTTTATGTTTACACTTACGTACTAGTTTACGGAGTATGTTTTTATGTTTATTCAATTTTTGTTTATCCTGATCTTTAAGAGGTACTTTTCCTTGTAAAACGTTATGAATACACTCACAAATACAGTTAATTTCTTCTTCATCACACGTTTTAAGTAATGCTCTTTGATATTTTGGTTTAAGCGTATGCAAAGCGGTTAGCAAATGTTTATACGTTGTGAGTCGACGATGCATCATTTAGCAATGATTTCAATTGTTTGATTCTTGGTGTATTTAAACTCTTTTGTGGGGACGTAGACTGTACAGAAACCATTAAATGGAAAGACATTTGTCTTGATACGACAAAAATCATTGGTATTCTGTTTTAAATCTACCATTAAATATCCATGTGCCTCTAGAGTTGCATCCCTGTAGGCATTTTCAATGAATTTTGGGTTATCTGGTGATACTTGTCTTGCTAAATATCTTATTTGAGTTTTATCTCGAGGGTTTTTAAAATATATTATATAACTTGAGTTTAAAGATATGTCTCTTTGTCCTTTACCCTGATGAAATAAATTTTGTGTAAGATAAAATACACTAAGATTCCTGTGATGACTACCTTTTGTAAATATATCCACAATTCTTCCATCGGACTCTCTCATTAGATCATCAATAATAACAAGATGTGGGTTTTCACCATCAAACATATTAAGATTTGGAATTCCTTGATGATAGTTAACATTTGGTAAATTATATAATGGTTGCATTTCATCAAAGCACCATGTGATCTGATTAAAATCACAATTACATATTTCTGTAACTGATTTTATGAAATTTGTTACAAAATTTGACTTCCCACACCCACTTGGTCCTGCCACAATAGCAGTGAACGGATGGATAAAGTGAAACATAACACACGTCTAAAGTTCAAAGGGGTGAAATAAAAAATGAAAGTGTTGGTGTAAACAATTAATATATATTCCAAAAATTATATAAAACAGAATTATCTGTATACTATTTCTAACACAATTAGTACATCATAATTTTACAATTAACTCACCCTCAAATAAATAGAAACAACAATTAGTACATCATAATTTTACAATTAACTCAACCTCAAATAAATAGAAACAACAATTAGTACATCATAATTTTACAATTAACTCAACCTCAAATAAATAGAAACAACAATTAGTACATCATAATTTTACAATTAACTCAACATCAAATAAATAGAAACAACAATTAACTTAAATTATTTACAATAAAACAATGTTTAAATATGTAATAAACTACGTCATATTATAGTATTATCATAATTTTACAATCAATATAAATTTTTCTTAAACGCAGACATAAAAGTAAAAACTATCAACACTTAACGCAGTTTATAATGACCCCAAGCTAATGTTTCAATATTATTATCTATAATATGTCTCTTTGTGTCATTATATGATAAACCTATCTTATTTAATTTTTGTGTGAAAATTGTGTGTTTAATTGATTTAAATCTAAGCATACTATAATATTGCACTTTTTTATTAAATAGAGAAGACTTATAACTATTCATTGTCATCTTTTTAGTGATACATTTATTTACCCCTTTTGCCTTGGCTATAGTCTTATTCTCTAAGTTAAAAGCGTACATTTTGGATCGTAAACCCACAAATTCTTTCATGATTTTACCATTATTTTCATCTTTAAAAAAACCTAATTTCTTTTTATTTAATTTTGGATATTCAAAAATATTATTTGTATCATAATCTGAGGTATCAAAGTATGATGAAAGGTCAGGTTTTATATCAGTGTAAAAATCATTTGTAAAT